ACTATATGTTTTTGAAGATAAACGATGCTATAAAAGAATCCCTATCTTTTATAAGAATAAAGTACATTTCGTTGACACACTTTCAAGACGAACCTATTTCTGGGATACCGCAGTCCCATGTGGATCAGAAAATAGCCACAATGTAGTACAACTGAACCCTGATGAAGATAAATATTACCTTCTTACCCCATATCCCACATTAATGGAATCAATCAAAAAATTTTCACCTGAAAGCATTAGAGCTATTGCTCGAAACCCAAATATTGACCTACAATCAATTGGAATATATTCAAAATCCGATATCCAACATCACATTAGAACACAACAATTCCAAGAATTATTAACACAAATGGACACTATACAAAGACAATCAATTGACCAAAACTTACGCAAACTTGCCGAAACCGCAGGATTTGCAGATATTTATACACAAGACTATAGCGGATATTTTAAAGACATTAAAGACTATATATATCTAAACGATGAAAAATACCGACCACAAGATATCTCACCTATAAAAAATTTTTAGCTTTGTTACACTCAAAAATGAAATCCTTGATTTTCTAGGATGGCCCTATTACATCTTAGAAAAATTAACTATTTCATACGCAATGTTTAACTTTATAGGTTTCTTTTTTCACTTTTAAAAGGAATCTATAATACATGCGCTATACACACACAAGTAAATAGACAAGCAAGTGTAGCACGCATACTATTTGCAGGATTTTTTGGAATTTTTTCATCATCAATAAACAAAATTCTTTTAGACGCACAAATAAAAGAATACAACACAAAAATAGCAACAAGACAGAACACATATAACGAAGAACATAACAATGTAGAAATAACGCCTACAGCACCACAGTTACCACCCCTACCACATAACCATCCATTATCCCTAATCCCACGAAATTTTCGAAATTTAGCAATAACACATAATCCAAATTTTAGACCAACCATATCACAAAGTCCCAGTCAACATATAATGACACATCATTCACTAGATGAAAATACATATGAACAAAATATAGAACAACCCCATACCACCGCTTTTCAGTCTCAAAATAATAACTTTTTTAGCCCACGATGAGCCGACAACTTGGATCCCTACACCGCTCAAATTCCCATCCAACCAACCTCAATACTCCAATTACAATAATTCCACTTTTTGCTTTCCCGCCACCCGATTTCCCAACCAATAATGTAACATCAGGCATGAATTCAGACACTAATTCATATATCTCAGTTTTATACTCCATTTCACAACTCAATAACCCAAATATTGAAACCCCTGATGAATTTGCAGACTCTGAACCATCTCCATCCAATAATTTTCAAACCAACTCCTCAGTTTTTTCAAAACCCCCTTTTCAACCAATCCCACCAAATAACCCACTCCCATCCATTTCTACACCCTCTTATGCTTCACAAGTCACCCCAACCTACTCTTCATTTCATTCAGACCGATCATCCAATTCTCCAGACACTCCCCAAATCTCCCAAGAACTAGATAATTTTATCACCCTACAACAACAACCCTTCCACCTTGAAAACCCCACTATAAATCAGATTTCATCCACAATAGAATCATCAAACCCACCTACCCCTACACCCTCTTGAGCTTATACCGCATCATTAGCACCATCATCCACATCCACCGAATCATCAAATAGCACTAATAGAGCTTATCGCACTTTCAAAAGAAAATTCCCAAACCATCCATTTCCAACAAAACCAGGAACAGCCCGTGAGTATATTAATCATCCAAATCACACTAACACGAAAGATTTTTTAGCAATCACCTTACCTTCATTTCCACTATATACTTTGAACACCCCTACAGATACTAACGATACACGTAGTTTTGTAGATGAACAAGTTTTAATGCCTAGACTTCATTGGACATCATATTATCATTTTACTAACCCCCTTTGCCTACCATTATCTAATACTCACATCGATATAGAAAGAAATCAAGATATGCTATATCGACTCACCACACCACTAACACATAGACAATTTACTTATATAGGATATAAAAAGTCACTAAAAACATACACTGCACCCCGAGCTAACAAATATACGCTAGAATATTACGATCACAACATCATCCGAGCTAACCAAGACCAATTTTTAGATGATGATCGTTTCGCTAACCCACAAATCACAAAAAAATTCTTCATCAAAACACCATATGTATTTACACTCAATATATATGATCGCAAATTCGACCATGTCATTTCTGAAGCACTAACCGACATGCAAGCTTACGAAAGTTTTAAAGAAAGATTTCAATTATTTTCACTAACCTTCAATTTCCTTGCACCACAAAACGCGATTTGCACTGCTCACACGACATTATGTTACGCACTAAACAAACCCACACATATACATATTATCGCTTCATACAAAATCATTTTGATCTACACACTCCATCAAGACAACCACACCACCGTTTTCAATTTATTAACTCTAAATACACTTCACCATTTTTTCTTAACTTCACATATTGCATCAAAGATACTAACCTTCACGGTATTCTTCGCAATTATGATCCCATAACCCAAATGTATATTTTTTGTCCCATCACGAAGACCTTCAACGCAGAAGAATCCAGACCCTTCCTTATCCCACATGAATTTATTCAACCTATAGAAATCCCGATATTAGAATTCATCCACAACACTAAATACAATCACAAATTATATAATCTCATCCAAAACACACCTTATGAGTTTGCAGTTGGCACTGAAGAACTAAAAACTATTAAAGCACTTCAATTGCTTTGGCCACTGCTTCAAACTAAAAACATCATTCGCATACTAGCAAAATTACTAACAAATTCCGACATAATACACGACATCTTCCCCCACGGTTTTTTCCCCGACGACTAACAGGTAAGTATAATTTATACATATTCTTCACTAATAAATTTGAAATAAATACTAACCATTCTTTATCCATGTCTTATTTAGATCTTTAGTCTTCATCCCACGATCATCTGCAAATTACACAAAAGAAAAATAAAAAATAATCAAACTTCTTCAAATTCTTCAAAACTCTATTAATATATTGCACTAGATAAATTCAATAAAAATCATACCAATGTAGTAAATTAATTTATAAATTATTTCCCTAAAAGCAGTAATTCTAATAATGATGAAAATTTGTAACTTAATTTTTCCCCAAAAAACTAGCAGTAAAATTGAAATTCTATGTAGTAAATTGATAAAACGAAAATGCAGTACTAACCTTTTGATATTTCCATTCACTCGCACAAAAATTCTATCCAAACTCGCACAGCTCGCCCACGAAGAATTGTTCAAATAATGATTTTCAGTTTCAAGCTTTCACACTCAACAACTCTAACACACAATAACACGTTTCAAACTTTCCTTTAACCCGGTTGGAAAGGAATTATATACTAAACAAAAGTAACCAATGCAGCTTACTAAACACCACAAATCATAGAATAACAGCATGACTAAGGAAAGGAAACCAACGGTACCCAAACCGGATTAACCCAGTTTAAAACTGGATAATTTATTCTCTTGAAGACTATTATAAAGTCTAAGAAAGAAACAATAAAACACAAAAAAGTCGAAAGACAAACCCATATCAAAAACAATTTGATTTTTGAAAAAAGGTCACAACCAACGAAACATAAGAAAAACCACAATAAACCCAACATAAAACGTTATCACATAACAGGACCTCTCACAGAAACCGCACGAAATCATACTCCCACTCCTGGCCTAACCCACCAGAGAGGACGTCCTGAGCATGCTCTATAGCCGGCCTAACCCACCGCGCTACATCCACGCTTTGGGACCACACTTCTATTTTTAATAAGAGGTACTCAAGGGTGAGTAACTCTTCAAAATAACCGAACTAAAACAAAAAGCTTTTGTGAAAACAACTAACCAAAATCATAATTAAAACACCGAACTAATAAAAATTTTATAAAATGTAAATTATACCTCGCAGTATATAGATCAGCATACAACACCAAAGACGAACATCCAAAGACAAAATGACCCCACTACACTCGAAAAAGAATGGCCAACCACAATCAATATGCCGTCCACAATCACAACTCAAAGGATTTAGAGTACGACTTGACTTCACAGAAAAGGACTTCATTGAACTAGACCAATGACCACCTCGATGTTCAAGTATACGTACAGATCCGAGTAACCAGGCATCCCCTCCACGCACAATCTCCACGCCATTCCCAGACTAGGTTGAACACAAAAGAAGTTCTCTACATGAAACAGAAAAACCTGTCATAGCAAACCATTCTGAAATCAGATTTGAGTTTGTTGAGAAAACCCAGTCGTTGTCATAAGAAGACACAACGATTGATCCTGGAACTTCTCTAACAGGAGAACCCAGAAGAAATATGATGTTCGCCAAATACCAACGTCCATCATCCATCCTTTGAATTGCAGAAAAACTATTCTAAAAAACTCTGTAAAACCCGGATGAGTGGAACCTGATCTAAACTACATTTTATGGTTGGATAAATTAGATATTTTACCACTGTAAAGTATTTAATATTAACCAATCATGATCCATCTAACTAACAACCCACTTATTTGTAAGTGCTGAAATTACTTGTAATTTCAGCACCAGAGAGATTTGAATTTAACTTAGAAATTAGTTGCCTCTCCAAGAGAACTTCAGCAGCCGCAATAAACCAGTATAACCTAGATCTATTGAGCCTAGCAGAGACTAGTTAAACAACCTGAGACTAGATAGTATAAGAGTAAGATTAGGATCGGTATTAGACTAAGAAGTTGCACGAATCTATCCGGCCGAAAATAAGATAGCGTGACGAGCAGACGGTGTACCCTATCCGAAATTACTCTATGAGTTAGGACCATCGGTTATAACTCACAATATTCTGCCAATCTAGGATAATTTTAGAGTTTTATGTATCATCTAATTGTTACAGTTGTTTTTGGTGGTTTGCTGAATTGTTTTGTTGGTTGTTCCAGCTGTCCATCTACACAGTGCTGATCGTGATAGCTGGCGCTTCGTGTGTGTTCGGAATCATAAGCTGTCACACTGCACCCAACAATGCCACGGCCAAACTGGGATGGGTAATCCAGCGAATGGCCATAGTGGTCATAACAGTCGCGTTCATGCTCAACTTCTACACCCGAGTCGTGATTCGGATGCGCGAGTCCAAACGAAAGGTACACCAGCTATAGTTGGCATTCACTGATTTTTGATATCGATGTAATAACCTTGTAATGAAAAAATGACAAATTGTCCGAAGCTGAGAAACAAGCTTAATTTGCTCAAACTGGAAAACTGTCAGAGAAAAAGCTTTACACCCTGATAATTTTCAAATTTTGCATTTTATCATTTTATAAAAAAAATAACTCGCTTTCAAAAGGAAACACTTTGCCTATAATTTGCCAAAGTTATTTATATTTAAAAAATCCTGTCTTGGAAGAACACCAAAAGGCCAGTTAGCTGCCTATTTTGACAAGTGAAACTTGTAGTTTAAAATTGACAAGGGCAAAATATGGTGACTTACCATATTGTCTAGATCAAGCGGATTTAGGGGGGGGGGGGGGGGGGGGGTTTGCGGATGCCTTTTCACCTCAGGGATTCGACCCCGCCCTCACCAACCAAAAGCCCCCCTTGTTATTATTTTATGACATCAGTTTTTGGCCAATCAACCCTAAACTTTTATAAATAGTGTTTTCTGCAACCAATATATTCTTATTTTAAAGGGGAGCGGGCGCCAAAAAAAACCGCAATTTTTCAGTCAAAATATTTTCCAAAAAGTTCTCCAACACGGCATTTTGAAGTGTTGCTTCAAAAATTTGACTGCGGCGCTAGCAGTTGTGTCCAGATAGGGCTTTATAGCATTCTGAGACCTCTCGTAGAAAATTCGACAAAATCTCGGTCGACTTAAAAAAAAGATTGACAAAATCTTTGACTTTTTCGCCATCCCCCCCCCCCCCCCCCCACTTCGAGAAAATCTTAGATCCGCCCGGGTCTAGATTAAAAATGTTTGAGTGAAGTGTAATGAAAAGTGCGACAAGTATTGTTTGATGACAGCACTAAAATTCATACTCGTAAGTATAAATTAGAACCTACCCTAAAAATATGGGCCAAATACTGTATCTAAATTCATTGCCTAGATTCTTAGAAATAAAAGAGATTATGTTTTTGTGAAACAATGCACGAATGAAGCGTAATGAAATGTGCGACCTATTGTTGTTCACCGTATAATTAGTCGAAAAATCTGTTATCATGTTTCAAAGATCCAGCAACTTGGTAAAATTACTGCATTTGTTTCAATTATTGCTGCCGCTTTTCAACAAAAGTGAGGAATATATATGCCTGGGTTGGTTTAGCTCATTCAGACCAATTTTAGAAAAGTTGACTGCGTATGAGCATCGATCGGAAAATCTTGTGAGTGTCGAGCGAGTAGGCTTGCACTAGATTAAAAAGCCGCTTTGCTGCTGGAATAAAACTCTGAAAGTTTGTTTCATTACGTGAATTGTTTATGCGGGGCAAAATATCCGCACTCATAATCATTAGAAATGGAAATGAGGCAAGCTGGACAGAATTTGAAAAGACTTCATTGATCATTTTCATTGCTGCCGCTTGTTAAACAAACAGTAGTTCCCTGTGCGGCGTCATGAACTTTTCTGGGCAATCAGTTAACTCAGGACATTGTCAATTTTTCTTCTCGGTTTTGCTCCAAAACAAAACCGTATTCACTCAAAATGTCAACAATTCACAAACAGAGCTCAAAATGTTAAAATATCACTCAATTTTTGGCACTGTTGAAGATATTTTCATTTTCGGCACTGATATAGTTCGGCACTGTTGAACACTCGCCATTTACATAAGATCAAATTCAGATCAAATTTCTTGGGTCAATTCGTTTTTAAAATGATTCAAACCATTATTTATGCGCCGTAGAAACATAAAGTAATGCGCGTTAGTTCTCTCAAAATTACCAAATTACCCATTTTCAAATTCTTATAAGTTCTCGGAAAACGCTCTCAGCTACAATTATTTTTTGTAAATTTTTGTTGGGTTCAATTTAAGTAAAACTCAGCATTTTCTATCTCTCTTTTCGAACCCAATTGGAAAACATCATTGTAGTGTTTCCAATTTTGTTTGTTTTGTCCTGAAAAATTAAGACAACAGGGTAGCAAACTGGTAAATAGCGCGCAATGGTTTTCCTAAATTGCCCATGTTAATAAGTCCCCAATGCCCATAATTTTACAAATAGTCGCATGTATGGTTCTGTTCTCATTCTGATCTCAGAACACCGATTTTCAAAAATTTCAGGTAGGTTAAGAAATTCCGTCAAATTAAAATGGTTCAAAATTGAAAATTCGAAATTGGTTTGAACAGAAAACCACAAGCATAAGTAAATTTTCACTTTCTTTAAGATTTGGAATAGTAAAACTAATCATATCAATCAGGGAAAACACTGAGTTTTCCTACTGCTTTTACTGTATATGAAGAAATCTTGTTTAAATCTCGCGTTAATTGTCACACATTGGCCACAAATATAATGCCCATATGACTCAATTTAATTGATCACGGTGATATATCTCCTTAATTTTGAGCTCAAGACATCATTATTTTTCAGATGATAGTTGAAAAAGAGGTAACAAGTTAAAAAGTCGCAATTTGTTTCAAGAAAATAACCACCGCGAGCACAATTACTCCCACACTTTTTGTAAGATTGAACAATAAAACAATAAACAAAAAATAGCGAAAAACCTTTGAGCTAGACAGACTTATTCAGTTTCATCCTACAGATAAAATAATCAACGTTTTATTGCGTAGAATTTGATTTTTTAATAGCCTTTTCATTTTAATATCAATAGCTCGCAAAGAAAATTCTATCTATGGTAGAACTATAACATACACCTGCCATTTTTGTACTGAACTTATTAAAATTATAGAATATATCATTATTTATTTATGCTTACTTCTTGATTTCTATTGTAATGAAAATTGATACAGTACATCTTTAGTAAGATTCAATTTGAAACTCATGTGACGTTTGCTTAGGGCACCTGATTAATATAATAATCAACCTCTGTCGCAATTTGAAAAGAAATTTCAGTTAACCATTTAACAAAAGCCACATTTCAATGGGACCAAGTTAACATCCTCCCCCCAAATAGACCAAGTTAAGAGTTAAGATCCTCCACCCCAGCGCTGAATTTAAAATAATTTTGGTTAAGCGCTCGCTGCATGTAAAATGCTCGATTCTGATTGGCTAAAAATTCCCAACTTAGAACCAAGTTAACATCCTCCCCCCTAAACGTGTTTAGGGGTAGGATATTAACTTGGTCCTTTCAATGTTTAAAATTTTACAGAAAGGTTACCGTTCTGAACTTTACAGAAAGATTATCGCTATCATTATTAGCCAGAAAAATGCAACAGTTTTTTTTTCGATTAACGATGAATTAGCCATTTTTCAAAGTTGAATCAACGCTAGGAGGTACAAGTTTAGACAACGGTGAATCAGAAAAAAATCAGCAAAAAATGTCAACTTTGATTTTGGGGAACAAATTGTCGTTAGCACATTACATTAACTTTGCATCATTACGCGCTCTCAGTAGTTTTTGTCAGTTTTGAAGTAAGAGGAAGCATCAGTAGCTCAGAGGTAATGTGGGTGTTTAGAATTATATAGATTGCGCGTTAGATTCAAGTTGATCTAACTGCTGCTCACTCCATACAAATTGAACTGGAATAATCTTCGTCAATAAATAAGCATTTGTTAAAATATCGAAAACAATTAACGCAAAAAAACCTGAGAAGTCACAGACAGACACACTTTACCGGATTGAAGTGGTGGAGTCGTATCAGCGGAATGGTTCGGCTGAATGTCTGATTTTTGACCAAAGTTATAAAGGTCAGCCAAAATTTTTGATACATGAACCGACCAGGGTCAATCCAGTTGACATGATCGGTACATGAACCGACCAGGGTCAATCGAGTTGACAGGATCGATACATGAGATGACCAGTGTCGATACATAAGTCGACCAGTGTCGATACATAAATAAACCAGCTTAAGATTTTTTGACAGTACTTTTTTGAGTTAGTAGTAAGTTTTCGACAAAATTTGCTGCCATCAAAAACTTTCTCACAATGACTCGCAATGAGAACGTCCGATTAATTTTGGGCCATCGGAACACAACTTTTCAACACAAAACGAGAGTTTGATGGAAATATTTTACTTATTTATATATCTTTCACGCGGCAGGGTAAAAAATTAGTTAATAAAGTAAGGATAAATTAAATCATGAATCTAAAAATTGTGTTCAGATTTTGATCTATTCAAAAACTGTTTTTTTTTTAAATCAAAAATGATACGAGGAAACTTGAAAACTAAATTTTGAAGCAGCTGACATTAGCAAATGACTATGAAAACCATAAAAATTACCAATTTAGATGCAAGGTCAACGACATTCGAGAATAAAAAGAATTGGGGCCGACTAAAATTGACTAGAGGCGATCATAGTCCGACCTGGGTTGATCAAAAATGACCAGGATTGAGCAAAGATGACCAGGGTCAAGCAAAATTGATCAAAGTCGATCAGTGTTGATAGCGGACCTAGTTCGACTCAGAAAACTGAACTGAGAGCGAGCAACGGCCGTCTTATATGTCAACTTAGAAGTCGGCCATTGCTCGCTCTTAATTTTCTCAGAACATAAATGCTTCGGGTAATTTTATAGAATAAATTCGGCAATCAAAGTATTAGATATTAACAAAGAATATTATTGCCCCAAAAAGATATCTTATCATCAAACTCAATATTAAAAAGATATTTAACCTGCAATTTTTTTTTGGGAAGTTTTCTGAGCTTGTAAATTGTCAGTTTTGCCAAATTCTGTACTGATTTACGCGAGCTTTCAAGTTTTTATGCACGATGCTAAAAAAAATTAAGGATAATTATTCTTGGGTTGAAGTATCCTATGTTCAAATTTGTTCCAGTTTGTAGGTAGATGGTCATATATCAGTTCCCTCCTACCCTAATTCAAACGTTAACACTCGCAGCCTAATATTTATAGATGTCCGAACTTTTTTCACAATTATGTTTTCGAAATCACCTAAATGGCAGTTTGGACATCCAGGGTTTGCCCTGATATACCAGCACTCTTTTTGCTCCAATTTTCGAAAAAAATATGATGGATATATT